GAGAGGGACAAGTAGAGGAGTTTGCGAATGGGCGAGTATGAGATGGAGACAGAGATAAATAAAAATACAGATACTGGTGAATAGACCGAGGAAGAGAACGAGTATTTTCGAAGGGTGTGGGAGTGAGGAGGTTATATAAATCGGTCCCTCAGACCGACAAAAGGTGACAAATGAACACAGATCGCTCTATTACGCCGAGGCTTCTGCCACATCTGACGCCATTATCACTGTAATTTAAGGGGCGGGACCTACATTGCGTGTTGATGTGGAAAGTGTGAAAGGTCAGGCTTCTGTCAGGTGACAGGGTCAGAGGTCAAAGACAGCATTCATGGAACATCCTCTGTAGTGTCAAGCTATTCTAATTTGTTTCTCTGCATATTCCCGCGGCTGATTTTAAAACAGTCTTAATTCTATATTCAAAAGGAGCAACCTAACTATAGTAACAGTTTAGAACTACAAACTAATAAGATTGTACTCTGAAGGATAAGGATAATAATAATATTATTGACTAATTATAGTCACCTGTAGTTAACTGTGAGTCATCCTAACAAGTATATTTCACTAAGAACAGATTGTGATGCATAGTTAAATAAATGCACTGGAGAGGTATAGACGGAGCACAGAAGAGCAACCCATTCCTCCCACCCAAATCTTGATTGACAAGTAAAAGCAACACCCGCTCTCGACATTATCATTCATTTTTATACACCCACATCCATCATCATAAGCAATGGAACTTGCCTAAAGCAAAACATTTAACATTGCAAGATGGCTCTTGTAGTTGAGTTAGGCCTAACTAAAACAATAGTCCTAAAATGCAGGCGACAACATGTGTATTATAGCGTGTTTGATACAAGTGTTAGCATGGGACCTATCTTGTAAACAAATAGCATGGACTTATGATATAATATCCTAAACTGCAAACTCTGACGCACTGCCAGTTCATCCTGGAGTGCACAATTTGACTCAGTTTGAATAACATGAAGGGCAGCAGGCGGACTGCACCATGCGCATTCGACTTCAGCGAGCTTGGTGTTTCGCTCTTCATTAATTTGGCCGTAATTAACAGCGCAACCCGTGGTGTGCATCTGCTGGACATGACAGTGCGCGGTCTACGTGTGCAAGTCTATGACAAAGTGTAGGAACAAAAACTGTTCTAAATAAAGTTCCTCCGAGTGACGAAACAAAACGTTCGTTTCCTTTTTAGTTAGCGCCGGTGAAAATGCCAATAACATTAAGTGTGGATTATACAGACGTTTTCAAAATTTGATTTCATTTTTTTAGAGAGAGTAAATTATCTTGAAGTGTACTATCTTTGATTAAAACATTAACCAGCGTTAAAAAATATCGATAAGAAAACTAGCAAAACAACACGAGCGGTAAAACGAGAACATTCACGTCTCATAGATTAGCTCCCTGATATAGCGGAACCAATTTAAAAGATCCCCCCATTACAAGCTATTCAGATTGATAAATAGGAAACACAACACCCGGAACGCAATGGCTCTGGCTTGAATTTCCAGGCCACATCAATTATTTTTTTTACCGATCTAAAAATATCACCCCAAGAGATTATCGTGCTCCCGATCCAACCGCACTGTTGGTCCAACGGGAGTTAGCTGCAGCCCATTTACAACTAGTATCTGGCTAAATGGTTATTGTTACTCGCATTATAGGAAATTTGAATTTCCTCCAATTATATGTCAAATTACTGTCTCTGTGAAGTCAAGTGTTGGTGGAAATGTCAGAATTTTTATTGGTACTGGTTAAGTTGGGAGGAGGGAGCGGCACAGGGGAGGAAATGTTTCTGCTCGAGAGCTCAAAGCGTATAGCAACTGGTTACTCAGGATGACGTTAAAACAATACCAGAACGCCGCGTTTTTTAAAGTTATGAAATAAAAGAGAGACCACCCTTCTGCCTCATTCCAGTCTTTCTGTCTCATTTTCATCTAATTTCTTTTCTCTTCATCAAAACCCCCATTTTCTCTGGCTTTGTCTAATTTTTTCTCTCTCCAAGAATGTAATAAATATAAGTGCCAGAGTGCTGTTTGACCCTCATTTTCATTTTTAAACTTTTGTTGCTCTTGCCCCCCCCCGCCCCCCATATCTCTCCAATTCTTTATCCCCCCTCCTCTCTCTCTCCTATCTCTCTCTCTCTCTCTCTCTCTCTCTCTCTCTCTCTATCTCTATCCAGCTCTCCCCACTGCTCTCTTAAACCTTTATCGTTTTTTCCTTATCTTTTATTTTTATTTCAGCTTTCATTCGGTTCCGTACTGATGACAAGGCATTCTCTATTCCACTCCTCAAACAAACGGTGGAAGAGAACGTTGAACAAAAAACAAAAATACCGATGCCTTTTGCTGCTGCTGTTGTTGTCATTGCCTCTGTTCTTGGTCCTGCTATTGGTGGTAATTATGAAAACAATCTTGCTGATGTATTTTATCTATTGAGCACTCTCGTCAATTGCCGTTTCATCAGAAAATATCCATATTGAGGCCTTCATCTCTTAAAAAATACCCCACAACAGACACACAATAAAACTTGTTAATCCTGCCCTGCGCAATAAGATCTCAGTCCGTTTCATGATGAACCACGGTGCGCATGGCTCTGATTCGAAACTCAAAAATGCGTTCCTACCTCGTGTTGTTTGAGGAGTTTTCAGTTGTTTTAGTTACAGTTTTTCTCCACTTGCAACACAAATAGGTCATAGAAGTGCCGAATATTAGAGGTGTTACTAGATAGTAGCATACGAAGAAAAAAGGAGGAGAGATAAAGACGATAGATGTTTGATAGGAGAGAAAGAGCAAACCTCATCAGAGCACCTGCCAACCACCCAATGACGCTTTCAGAGCTTCCCACCTATCGAGCCTATCGAAGAGGCACGTTACAGTTTCTGTTTAAGCAAAGAAGAGCACATCGACACACCAATAGTTATTTAGGGAATAGGAAGAATAAGCCAAAGAGATGGAAACAGTAGGGAAAGACAAGAAATATCAGCGGCAGCCTCCAATCTACCACAGGGGCATTGGATTCGGAACTCGTGCTCCTAATAACTTTACAAGGCAAAGAGGAAAGTACAACTTTAACACTACAAAGCAACCTAGGTTCTTACGGAATGCGCTTCACATTAAAATCTTCATGCACAGAAGCCACAGTTTTGATCGTAACTTCGGCGATGCAGATTCTTTGTCATTATAAATGTTTTACACTCCCATCGACCCCGCTTGGATAACTTAGGAGGAAGACTGCATCAACCTCGTTTGCCAATGGGCTTTGTCTCAGGCAGACAGACAGAGATACAAGATAATATTTTTAAAAACCCCAACCCCCCCCCCAAAAAAAAAAGAACCACCGTACCCCCCCAAAAAAAAACAAACAAACAACAACAACAACAACCAAACAACAACAACAACAACAAACAAACAAACACAACCACAATAAAACAAACAAACAACAACAACAACAACCAAACAACAACAACAACAACAAACAAACAAACAGACCAACAACAAGAGCA